TGCTGAACTTGCTCTCTGTTGGGGCTGGCTCTTCCCAGACCAGACTGGTGACCCTAGCCTGGTATTGCTCTTCTTCTGGCTGTCGCTTCTTAAAGCAGCGTGGTCTGTTTTGAGCAAGGAGCTTGCTAGAGCAAATTTTAAGGAACTTAAAAGTCCTCTGTTGCCTATGGAGGAAACAGCCGAGCACGGGGGAGGAAGGAGTACAGGAAAGCTGACCTGAGGTGTTCACCCACCAGTCCTCATCCGTCACTTGACTGTGCTGCTTCCCCAGGAGGAGGCTGACTCCAGTAGCGGGCATGGTCTGTGGACTGTTTTCTAACTTCTGAGCTCTTTGCTGTCAGACAAGTGAGAATTGGAGCAACCTTGTCATCTCTTCTCGTGTGGGTTTACATAGGCTTCAGCCATGGAAACTGAGCAGAGTTAACTTCAGATACAGTAAAGGACCTTCTCTCCATGGTGAAGATGTGCACTGGAGTTTGTCTCTTGCCCTCTTTGTGTTGCTTGCTAGCCACCCCATGGATGTGTGTAGTTTGTGTGGCTGGTACCGACAAACTAAAATCGGCATCTTGTCTTATCAGTGCTCCCACACTGCCTCGAACTCCTGAGGTTCGCTTTGGAAACTGGGACTTGTTGAAATCTTGCCTGTCTTGATCTTGCAGCAAAATTGGTAGTACGTAACCGTGGAGCAGACTTGCTGATCCTCATGCGTTGTCAAAGCATCGAGTGCAGAGTTGCACACAGGAAGCTTGATTTAATGCTGCCTTTTAAATTGACCCCTTGGCCTTGCTCTTCAGTGTTCCTTCAGCTGCTTAGGGGTCACGAGGAGATGAGATTTTCTTGGGGAGGGAGCTGGCCTTGTGAGCTCCTTCTTCAGATAAGTGTATCCCTTTTCTCCACCGGGAACAGTAGCTAGAGTTGGTGTTTTGGTTGATGCTATTAATGCAAAGTCCATATAAATAGTGATGGAATTAGCAGTGTATTTCTGTAACTGCTGATAGCCCTCTGTCACTCTCCAGAGATCTTGGCAGCAGTGGCTGTTTGTATTTGTAGTGACAGTGGTGTCTGGTTTTGCTGCCCTGAAAAGGCAACTTGGGTAGTCTACAGAGCACATGCTTTCTGTGCCTCTGCTCTGGGACCCACCAGATGATCCAGAGCTCTTCGAAGGGTGAGGGTGTTGCTCTGATACTGCCTGGGGGACTTGTCATTAACATAACTGGTTGTCTTGCTTAACTTGCATAACTTGCCTTCCTCTAGGTCCTGTAAGTGAAAGAAGATGGGGTCTGGCTGCCTAAAAGTCACCAAGTACTTCCTCTTCCTCTTCAATCTCCTGTTCCTCGTAAGTATTGTGGGCATCTGCAGAGTAGAAAGGAAGGCCTGGAGTAAAATTAGCTGCAAAGGTGTTTTTTCTGGATGTTGGCCCAGTGTGTTCATTAAATAAAGTGGTCAGAGTTTCGGAAGGAGGGAGGGAATCCCTGAAGCCAAGGGACATCAGAGCTGCTGTGCGGCTCCCAGGTGTGTCGATCTCCCCATACCCACCTGCTGTCTCCAATGCACGCAGCTCCCTTCCTGCAGTGGGAAAGGAAAACAGGAGTTATGGGTCCTTTCTAGAAGGAGAATGGTTGAAACTACCTTCTCTGCCACATCTGGAGCAGCAGCTGAGCTGCCCCTGAGCAGCCAAGCTACAAAACCTGCCAAGTAATGGTGGTGCCCTCCTAAATAGGCCAGGCAAGCTTCAAAGAGCAACTCTAATTTTGTTCGAGTCCCAACGGCTGGTTTTGATTTTTAAGAAGATGAATTAGTCCAAGTCCCCTATTTGAAATAGAGTTGGGGGGTGGGGGAGACTGGGTCAGGCTTGCCCAGGGAAATGAGGCAGCCCACTAGATGCAGTTATTTTCAAGTGTGAGGCTCAGCAAAAGATGAGTTCCTCTTGGATCAGAGTGGGTCTGGGAGGGCCACATGCATTCTTGCATGCATCCTTTTGTTGTGAAGCTTAGATACCATGTGTCATGTGGACTGTGATGGTACTGTTGGCGCTGCCCTCCTGCAGTGGGATGGTGTAGTGGGGAAGCATAAGGTTTCAGCTTTCCACATATCGGCAAGAAAATAGCCTGTTTGATAGTGTTACCCTTTGTGAAGCATGCAAAGGGAAGGAAGGGCCGGGTAGGGAGGGAAATGGAGCATGATAAGGTGACCACTGCTTTCTGGTCTCTGTCCCTGCACGTAGCTTCACTCTTGCTTGCTCCATGGCTGAGCTGTGCTGCTGGCACACGGGCTTGAACTTGAGGCACATCTGGATTTGATTTCCCTTGGCTTACTCTGCTGGCTCTTTTCTCTCTGTGTTTTGCTTCCATCCTAAGAGTCGTTAGCTCTAGTCTAAGGGCTGAAAGTCAGGGGTGCTCAAAGCTTGGAAGGGAGGGGAGAGGAGAGGTTTTCTAAGTGCCACTAGATCTTTTGGAATATGATTTGGTCCACTTTAAGGATAGGAGAAATCCATTGGAGTCCAGGCCTGTCGTCCTACTAGTGCAGGACTCCTGAAGACACATTAGCATCCAGGCTATCGCCTTTCTTGAAGAGGTGGTACTTTTTAAGCAGCATATAAACCAGTATACTCTGGGAAACAGACCTGCATTTGTTAAGGCAGTGTTTGAATCTTGCTGAAGCCCAGTACCTGGGCACTGTCTAGTCTTCCTTTATCCCCGAGCCTAGGAACTTGGGCTTGTTAGCTAACCTCTGTATAAAGTTCTCTTCAAGAAAGCCAGCTTAGCATGGGAAGAAAGGGGAAAGACGACAGCCTGAAACACTACGTTGCCTTACAACACTGTCGCTGGTTTTGCTGGATGCTATCAGTGGTCATTGTGGCATCTCTATTCCATGTTGCCCTTCGGTCCCCTCTCTGCTGAGCCAGGCATGCTCGCAGGCAGCCTGCGGGGATAGCTGCGCTGTCAGGAGGCAGAGTTGAACTGCTTTGTTGGGCCGACCCATGTCTGCACTGAAAAGCATTTTCCTATATTTTGCAAGACTGGGAGGATGACAGGCGCTGAATCCCTCTGTGGGTCCTGGGGAGGCTTGAGCACTCCTGTCTCGGTCACAAGTGATGGGAATCAGCTGTTCTTTGTCTTGTGCACGCCCTGCTCCAAACCAACTCCGCTGGTGTAGCAGCCAGCCCCTGTCCCTCTTGGGGAAAGCTGATCTGATGCCCTGAGCTGAGCCTGGAGAGTAAGAAGTTTTAAGGTGGGATGTGAGGAGATCTGTGCTGACCCGAGGGAGAAGCTGCTTTAATGAGCTCTTTGCTAAGCCTGCCATGCAGTGTGGGTGCTGTCTTCCCCTCAGACTGCCCCTTGGAAGTGAGGTCTCTGAAACTGCTGTGTTCTGGTGAGGAGCTTGATGCTTCTCTAGAGTGAAGATTTTGAGCGTCCTTCTGTCTTGACCAATGGGAGACTTTTTGCATGTGCTGGATGTTGAAGAAGGTGATATCCATTACTCTCTCGCTGTCGTAGGAAGTAGTTGACATGAGAAGCTTTTTCCATTATGGTTGTTCAAGGTCTGAAGGTGTGTGTGTGGGCTGATTCTTGAGCTTATACAATGTGGTAGATCAATAGTAATCTAGCAGAGAAACTGCTGCTGTTCAGGTGCTGTGAGCTCCCAGCATGGACAGGTTTTATGTATGTTGTGCTGGTTTCCTGGAGCTGCTGAGTTTTGATGAGGAGAGTGCTTGCACAAATGTGAACGTTAATGCTGGTGATGGAGCTCTGTGTCTGTTCTGGACCTGAGCCTCCATGTTTGCACCCTGTGCAGGCCAGCCCTTGCTGTCTGAAGTGCGTTCTCCAGCCTTGCTTGGAGCTGAATTAAGCCTTTAGAGACTTGCTGGTGACTCTTAGAAGTTGGTCGTTGAAATAGTACTTCTCTACAGCTTGAGGTCTATGAGAAGGTCCCTTGCTATAGTTGAAGTAGTTTAGGGACTTAGTGGTATCTTGCAGTCTTGGAGCTTTACTTCAGGGAAAGGTTTGACCTGCTTTGATTAAAGGGAAGAAGGCTATTTGGACTCCTTGCCTACTTGCTACGAAAGATACCAAAAACGTACGCTTGCAGTATAAGCTTAGTTTCTCTAATCAAAACTTAACACACCTCTACCTTCTTGGGTAGCAGACATGGGCCACAGCAGCTGCTTCTCCTTAAAGGGAAAACAGTTTTGCGAGACAAGTTCAACAGTCTCTGGAAATGATTTGTTTAGAATATATAACTGTCTGTCCTACTTCTAACCCTTCTGTAAATGGAGCAGAAGGCTACTGCCTAAAACAAAGCCTGGAGTAAGAGCCTTTCTGCTGGCCCCTGTGCCAGGCTCAGCATTACCTCACGCGGTCTGGGTGCGAAGGAAGGCAGTGCTGGGGGAGGACAGCCAGGCACCCCCAGCTGCTCTTCCCAGAAAGGTGAGTCGGCTTCATCACAGCTTAGTTCTTCCGTGCCCCTCTTCACTGGGCTCTGCTGTGGGCAACTGCTGGCCCTGCCTTGAGGGAGCTGCATCCTTCTGGCTTGAGGGTGGACGGGGGTGCTGCTGAAAT